CCCAGTACGACTTTGCACTACAAAGCTTGCACAAAGCACGTCCCAGTACTACTTTGTACTACAAGACTTGCACAAAGCACGTCCCAGTACTACTTTGTAGTACAAAGCTTTTGCACAAAGTAACTTCCCAGTACTACTTTGTACTACAAGACTTGCACAAAGCACTTCCCAGTACTACTTTGCACTACAAAGCTTGCACAAAGTACTTCCCAGTACTGCTTTGTACTGCAAGACTTGCGCAAAGCACGTCCCAGCACTACTTTGTACTACAAAGCTTGCACAAAGTACTTCCCAGTACTACTTTGTACTACAAAGCTTGCACAAAACACTTCCCAGCACTACTTTGTACTACCAAGCTCGCACAAAGTTCAACTTTGTACTACTAAGCTTGCAAGCTTTTACACAAAGAAGTTTTTACACGGAGAAACGTTTTGGTACATAATGACAACAGAAATTGCAGTTCCAAAATCGGATGGATCCCGGCACCAGAGCGGAAAAAACAAATGAAGCACTTTTTAAAGGAATTAAAAAAGGAAAATCATCAGCGCCAAAATTGAGAAATTCTGCTGACAAATCAATATCGCAGCCTTGATGCAGCCACTCCAATACGATTTACGATGTCCAGCTGCAAAAGACAAGAGTATTACGCACGCAGCCGCGGCGCCAGGCAACCAAACAACCAGCACCGCCTCACACAGGAGCTGCCCTTCATCGCCACCTGCAGCCACTTCAAACGGAAAAACACAAGGTTTCGTGCTCCGGCTTCCTCCCCAACACAAGCCCCATGCAACAGTCATGCGGCCATTACGATGCGTTTTGCAGCATCATGTCATGTATCTACGTACATGGCAACACAAGATGACAACAACCATGCAGCCATTCCAATGCGATCTGCAACCACCGATTCAAGAAACGCATAGAACTACACACACGTGAGCAACCACACGTTGCAGAACACCAAGGGAGAACTGATTCGACGATGAAACGATCGCAGCCGCAGCCGCCGCACACACAAGGTACCCTTCATCGCCACCTGCAGCCACTTTACGCAGAAAACACAAGGTTTCGTGCTCCGGCTTCCTCCCCAACACAAGCCCCATGCAATATTCATGCAGCCATTACAATAGGTTTTGCAGCATCACGTGGCAAACCTGCATGTATCTACGCACATGGCAACACCAGATGACAACAATCATGCAGCCATTCCAATGCGATCTGAAACCACCGCTTCAAGAAACGCACAGAACTACGCACACGTGAGCAACCACACGTTGCAGAACACCAAGGGAGAACTGATTCGACGCTGAAACGATCGCAGCCGCAGCCGCCGCACACACAAGGTACCCTTCATCGCCGCCTGCAGCCACTTTACGAAGAAAAACACAAGGTTTCGTGCTCCGGCTTCCTCCCCAACACAAGCCCCATGCAACATTCATGCAGCCATTGCAATAGGTTTTGCAGCATCACGTGGCAAACCTGCATGTATCTACGCACATGGCAACACCAGATGGCAACAATCATGCAGCCATTCCAATGCAATCTGCAACCACCGATTCAAGAAACGCATAGAACTACGCACACGAGAGCAACCACACGTTGCAGAACACCAAGGGAGAACTGATTCGACGCTGAAACGATCGCAGCCGCAGCAGCCGCACACACAAGGTACCCTTCATCGCCGCCTGCAGCCACTTTACGCAGAAAAACACAAGGTTTCGTGCTCCGGCTTCCTCCCCAACACAAGCCCCATGCAACATTCATGCAGCCATTACAATAGGTTTTGCAGCATCACGTGGCAAACCTGCATGTATCTATGCACATGGCAACACCAGATGACAACAATCATGCAGCCATTCCAATGCGATCTGCAACCATGTGATGTAAAGTATAATGTAAAGTCTTGCCCTTCATGAATGTATTGTTCGGTGATGTAAAGTCCCACACCACCCTTCATGAATGTATTGTGATGTGATGTAAAGTCTCACACCACCCTTCATGAATGTATTGTTATGTGATGTAAAGTCTCATGCCACCTTTCATGAATGTTTTGTTATGTGATGTAAAGTCTCACACCACCCTTCATGAATGTATTGTTATGTGATGTAAAGTCTCACACCAACCTTCATGAATGTCTTGTTATGTGATGTAAAGTCTCACGCCACCTTTCATGAATGTATTGTTATGTAATGTAAAGTCTCACACCACCCTTCATGAATGTGTTGTTATGTAATGTAAGTCTCATTGAGTAAAAGTCATCCGTAACTCGGAAGATTGCTTCCCAACTTCCTTTGATGAGATCCCTTTGTTGCACAGTTTGAGGTGTTTAAGATGTTTGTTCAGTGTCTTTGAGATGTTTGAGAAGTTTGTTTTGTGCCTTTGAGATGTTTAAGAAGTCTGGTCAGTGTCTTTGAGATGTTTGAGAAGTTTGTTTTGTGTGTTTTGAGATGTTTTTTTGAGATGTTTGCGCAAAGCGAAAATTGGCGTCCAATACCAACCATTGCAAAAATTAGATATGCAAAAGACGTTGGCAAACGAAAAAACTGACAACGCGGAATTCGAGGCATAACCTGTTCGATCAAGCGCAGCGCGCGCCCAAACAAATGTATGACAAACAACATGGCAAGGCAAAGGGAACAATCTCAGGACAAGCCGGCGTAAGAACCATTCAACACACCATGACTGCAAAAACCTGAAGCGTCATATTGAAAAATCACGACGTGGTGGGCGAACAGAAAAGCAAGGACGAAGGCCGGAAAGACTGATCCGCAAAACGCGTCGGCGACCAGCAACAAGTGACAGTGCTGAATTGAATTTGATGCATAATCAAAAACGGTTCAAGCACGCACAGCGCAAACCAAAGCAAAAATTATGAAGGACAACATGGCACGGAAAAGGGAACAATCCTAAGACGAACCAGCCTGAAAACCACTAAAGCAAAACGACGACTTCAAAGCTTGAAATGATATATCGAACCATCGCGACGGCGTGGGTTTAAAGAAGCACGACGACAAAGGTGGATGGACTCAGTGAAGTGGCAATAAACGCAAAACTTGACTCGCGAGCTGGTACTGCACGGGTGGCAGGTGCAAAGACCACCCTTGTTCTCTGCGCCTGCCACCCGTGCAATTGACTGAATTGATTTTCAAACTGTTGGTCTTTGCGCCCGCCCTCGCTGCAGTTTAGCAAGTTAATTTTAAACATGTTGTTGTGTGCGCCTGCCACCGGTGCAGTGAAGCGGATTGATTGTCAGATTCCTGGTCTCTGCGCCTGTCACCCGTGCAGTTTACCAGAGTGATGGTTGGATCCTTGCAACTTGATCCAACCATCACTCTCGTAAATTGCACGGGTGGCAGACAGACCAGGGATCCGACAATCAACCCGCTGAACTCCACCGGACTCCACCGGTGGCAGGCGCGGACACCCACATTTTGAAAATCAACCTGGTAAACTGCCAGGTGGCAGGCGCAGCACAGAGACCAAGGATCTAACCATCAGTCTGGTAAACTGCACAGGTGGCAGACGCAGAGCCCAGGGGTCTGACAATCAGTCCCTTGAACTCCACGGGTGGCAGGCGCAGACACCAACATTTTCAAAATCAACCTGGTCAACTGCAAGGTGGCAGGCGCAGAAGAAAAAGTCTTGACAAGCGATCCCGTAAACTCTGTAAACTGCACGGGCGGCAGGCGCAGAGACCAGGGATCTGACAATCAATCCCCTGAACTCCAACGGTGGCAGGCGCAGACACCAACATTTTGAAAATCGATCTGGCCAACTGCCAGGTCGCAGGCGCAGAGGCAAAAGATTTGACAAACGATTTGGTAAACTGCAGGTGGCAGAGGCAGAGACCAAGGATCCAACCATCACCCGAGTAAACTGCACAGGTCGCAGGCGCAGAGACCAGGGATCCGACAATCAATCTGCTGAACTGCACCGATGCAGGCGCAGAGACCAGGGATAGATAGGTACAGCTTTTCATAGGAATGTTTCATATACCCGTGTGCAGCATCATTGCATGATTGTATGTGTATGATTCGTATGATTGTATGATTGTATGATTGTATGTGTATGATTGTATGACAATGTGCGCATGATGTCATGATGACAATCATAGGACCACATACAGTTAGTAGCAGCGTGTCATCCAACATGATTGCGTCTGTATCAATTCATGTTGCAGGTTGCTTGCCAAAGATCCATAAGCAATTCTGGTACCTGCAGGAATGAGCACATCAACACCTAAGTAGACACCGTGAGCAATTGCACATTGTATGTGCATAATGCTTTTCAGGGCCCTGATTCATTTACCAGAGTGCAGTGCAGCACGATTGTATCTGTAAGATTGTATGACAATGTGCGTATGATGTTATCAACACGATCACAAGACTATATACAGTTAGTTAGTAACAACGTGTAATCCACAATGATTGCGTACATGTTGGTTGCTCGCCGCCCATTCATAAACAATTTTGTCAACAGCAGGACCGAATTATGAACACAAAAGTGTGCAAAGCAAACGCTTGCACATTATGTGTTTGTACTACTTTTCATGGGAATGCGTCACATACTTGTGTGCAACATCATTGCATGGTTATGTGTATGCTTGTATGTGTATGATTGTATCTGTATGATTGCATGTGTATGATTGTATGACAATGTGCGCATGATGTCATCGTGAAAATCACACGACTACTAGGGCTAGTAACAACGTACAATCCAAGATGACCGCATGTATGCATTCACTTGTTTGATGACAACGATGCAAGGTCTAATGCTGAAAAAAACAAAAACTTTCAAACTGTTGGGGATAGCACCTGAATTTATTTCGGTAAAGATCCAGGAAACCAGTTCCAAAAATCAAGTTTGCCTGCCAAACTGGGTTGCACGTTTCCGTTGAACAAAAAAAAACAATAAAAAAAAGGAACAAAAAGAGAAAACAAGAGGACCAACAAGAGCTCCGAGAGAAAGGACTGCATTGCGATACCCGACAGATTCGGACTCAGGATCACCTCTTCGTCGCGCTGATGGGTCGATGTAGTGCCGTGCTCTGCGAGGTTGGGACGGTTGACGCCCTAGGAACCTGGCCATACCTGGCCTCACTGAAACCTCTGCAGATCTCTGCAGCCGGATTCTCAGTGAGGCGCTCTAGAGCCTAGGTCTGCTAGAGGGCGTTACAGTCCAACTGAATCCAACCAAGTCTAACGAATTTCTGAAATAACAATTTAAAAAAACCCGGAGCAAACCGTTACCCGCCTCCCATGAAGTCCCCCATATGGAACCCTATCACGCTGTGCGGGTACATCCATACTGCAGGTTGAGCTTGTACTTGTTCAATTGCCCGGCAGTGAACCAAGCAATGACGCGTGGACTGTTTCAAAGCCCAGGGGGCCTTTCAGGCGAATCAATTACATGAATTGGAAAAGACCCTGGCACAGGTCGGCGATGATGGAAGGCGTATTCCTATGACTTTGGGTAGAGGCCAGGTACTCTCTGGGTGTTTCTGAATGGTTGGCCGCTTTTGACTTGAAGAATATGAATGATGTCAACATGACTACATTATTGAATGCATCAGTGCATCAGTCTAGGTTCTATGTTTACTTTACGTTGTCAAGCATATATGAGTACATGTGGAATTTCATCGTGGTGACTGGTTTTTTTCTACTGCAGGTGTGAAGACTGGTTGCATGGGAGGGCCTTCAGCTACTTCTCCGGATGTCAAGATCTTTCTTCGCTGAAGCACTGATTGAAACAATGCAAGCACAAAACACTGTACAGCCTGTAGACAAGGCTAGACCAATGTGTGTCAAGACAGTCGAGATGCAACTGGTGACTGAATTGCTGTTGTTCAACGAACAGTGTTTTTCCAGATATGCCAAGTGCAGTCCAATTTCTTCATGAAAACACACATCTTAAAGTCAGAATCATACGTACCAATGCTATCAGGCGCTTGAAAATGGAGGTGTGAAAAAAGCACTGAATTTGTTCAAGACCTCTTTGGTTACAGCTTGTGATCTAAGGTGCTAACAGCACAACTGAGCGCTGCAGACCGCCATTCGAATCTTGCTTGCATTTGCGACAAGAGACAATCGACAGTAGATGAAACATCTGACGGTGCAGGCTGATCTCCTAAACCTGGGAGCATCTCAGGTTCCTCGTCCTGACATCCTCGGTGATATCGAACTCCATCTCTTCAACGGAGCTCATGAACATCTCTTTGGGGTATGATTTGCAGCTGGACCCTCAGTGCAGCTCATTCGGAAGCGCCATATCTAGAAACGATGTATCCGAATCACAATCTGGAAATGACAACCTTTCATTTCATGTTGGATTTGAGGGGTAAACATTTCCGTAAACATGTTCGCCGCCCTCTTCACTTTAGCCCACAGCTCTCTGAGCTGTTGGGTTGATTTGGCTCAAAACGCGGAATTTGTACTGTTTTAATCTGTTTTACACATCTCCTAGAGTCTCCTTGCCCTCAGATTGTGCTGCACGGTTTCCTCTAGTACTGTTTCTACTGTCCCTTGCTCACTTTCGCTGAAATTTTGAAACCACCTGCTAAGGCCCAGAGCCTTCTGTGGTGATGTGGCTTCCCGCGCAGCTCAAGCAGGGCCGTGCACAGCAGTGCAGGTGGACGAGCCTCAAAGCTCAGCTCACGGAGAAAGCAAACAGAAAGCAAATGCTCCAAGTCAGGGAAAGCAGATAAGAACGGTGAAGCCCTTAAATCCACTATGACTGGATTGGAATGACAAGATCAGAAATGGAAAGACTCATGAAGGGTGAATTAATTTCAGAGAGTTTCAGCTGCCGTGCTTTCCATGACTTCAATTGGCCTGGCATCTCAGTGGGCAGCCAGTGCAGTTTCTTTTTGGTCTGAAGAGTTAGAAGCCGCTCTGCAGGTGAACTTCCTCCCTGAAGCTCCAACACAGGTTGAGGCCATCCTTTTCTGAATCTGCCAATATCTGCCATGTCGATTCATTTCAGAATTTCGCGTTGCTCGTTCTTTCGAGTTGTCCAGTTTGACATCCAACACCATTGCCCCATTGCGTACAGTCCGCTTTGTGCAATTTGTTTCGTTCAGCCAGTTGCTCAGTTTGCCTTGGCATTGCTTTGAGGCGGTTCCCCCGCCTACAAAGAAGGCAAAGGTTGCGCACACGAGTGGAGCACCGCAGCTCATATTTAGTGTTTGCCCGCCAGCTCAGAAGGCCGTGCCATAAACGGCCCAGCTTTTTGGAGCTTAGAAATGCTCAGAGCCTCGTTCGACCTGTCAGATCTTGTCAGATCTTGTCAAATCTTGTCAAATCTTGTTGGTATCAGTTGGAGACCTCCTGAGACCTTTGGTTTGAGCCCAGGCCACGCAGAGCATGCGTCTCAGGCACATCTTGGTGCCACGCCAAAGGTTTAGCTCTTACATTTTGCTAGGCGTGCAACAGTGTTTTTGTTTTCTGTGCGCGAACTGGAAAAGGCTCTCAAGCCCTTTTCCCCCCCGGGAATGGACCCATGGAAGGGAAATTCTGACAAACCTGTTTGCGATGCATCGCCGCCCTGCACCAAGGTGAAGTTTCACGAAGGACCAAAGGTTCCTGAGGAGCCGAAGGCTACACGAAGGGAGCCAAATGCGTCTTTGACCTTCACAGTCACACAAGTGTGAATGGTCAGACGTTTTCACAGTGCGCTGAGTAGGAAACACAGCCTCTTCTGAGAGAGTTTGCCACACTTACAATATTCTGGGCTTGATTTGTTTGAGCAGATTGGGTGGCCGACCTCGTTTCTATTGTCAGGAGTCAGGAACCCCACACAAAGATGTGGGGGACTACGACTACGACTACGACTACTACTACTACTACTACTACTACTACTACTACTACTACTTCAAGGTTCTTTGGTTCACGGTTGAGAGGCAAAGTGGGCGTCCCGTTCGCGACTGGATGCTGAGAAGATACTGCGTGTTGCTATTGCTGAGATTCGACAGGATCGGCCGCCTGACCAGATTCAGCCAGATTTCTTGACACCTTTTTTCTCTTTTTTGTGGCTTTTTGATGCTTTTTGTGTGTTTTTTTTTCGTTGCATTGGGGGACATTTTTTTTGTTTGTTTGTTTAATACGCTTGGATTCATTCTCATGTTGTTTGTCTTTCGAGCCAGTCCAAAGCTACACCATGTCGCAGCCTAATGGGCCACCACACAGAATGATTCTCCTTCAGCTCCTAGATGTCACCTGGCGGTTGTGATAGCGGTGATTTGACAATGATGCGCGGTCTGTTCTATAATGACCGGAATTGCAAAATGAAAGTAGTTGGACCCTTTGCCCTTGTCACGACGCTGACAACAGTATGTAGAGGCTCAACTCCTCCCTAGTCCGTTTTGGCTTCCTCTTCTTCATTTTCGCCTTCTTCATCTTCTTCATCTTTTCATCTCTTCATCATCGCCTTTTTCCCGAGAGCGCCTGCGAAGGGTTCTTCGTAAAAAAGCAGCCGTTATACTAGATCTTCACAGCTTCACACCTGCAGATCTAGATCTTCACACCTTCGCACCTGCAGATCTAGATCTTCACACCTTCACACCTGCAGATCTAGATCTTCACACCTTCACACCTGCAGATCTAGATCTTCACACCCTCACATCTGGACATCTAGATCTTCATACCTTCACACCTGCAGATCTAGATCTTCACCCTCACACCTGCAGATCTAGAGCTTCACACCCTCACATCTGCAGATCTACATCTTCACACCCTCACATCTGCAGATCTTCATACCTTCACACCTGCAGATCTAGATCTTCACACCCTCACACCTGCAGATCTAGATCTTCACACCCTCACATCTGCAGATCTACATCTTCACACCCTCACATCTGCCGATCTAGATCTTCACACCCTCACATCTGCAGATCTAGATCTTCACACCCTCACACCTGCAGATCTAGATCTTCACACCCTCACATCTGCAGATCTACATCATCACACCCGCACACCTGCAGATCTAGATCTTCACACCCTCACACCTGCAGATCTAGATCTTCACACCTTCACATCTGCAGATCTCTTCTCGCTCTTCGTCTATTCTCTCTTAAGGCGGGGGCGGTGCCGCCGGAGCGCCACGAAACGCAACCCTTTCGCACGAAATGGACGTTGGACGTCCAAAACCTAGGTAAAATTGCGATTTTGAAGCGTCCCGCGCAACTCTTTCGCACGAAATGGACGTTGGACGTCAAAAACTGAGGAAAAATTGCGACTTTGAGGTGTCCCGCGCAACCCTTACGCACGAAATGGACGTTGGACGTCAAAAACTGAGGAAAAATTGCGACTTTGAGGTGTCCCGCGCAACCCTTACGCACGAAATGGACGTTGGACGTCAAAAACTGAGGAAAAATTGCGACTTTGAAGCGTCGTGCGCAACCCTTTCGCACGAAATGGACGTTGGACGTCAAAAACTGAGGAAAAATTGCGACTTTGAGGTGTCAATCGCAACCCTTACGCACGAAATGGACGTTGGACAAAACTGAGGAAAAATTGCGACTTTGAGGTGTCCCGCGCAACCCTTACGCACGAAATGGACGTTGGACGTTAAAAACTGAGGAAAAATTGCGACTTTGAGTTGTCAATCGCAACCCTTTCGCACGAAATGGACGTTGGACGTCAAAAACTGAGGAAAAATTGCGATTTTACTTCGTCAATCGTAACCCTTTCGCACGAAATGGACGTTGGACGTCAAAAACTGAGGAAAAATTGCGATGGACGCTTTCGTTTCTGTACAAGTGTCTGTGTGTAAAAGCGTCTGTGTGTAAAAGCGTTTGTGTTTGAAAGCGTGTGTGTGCGTGTGTAAAAAGCATCTGCGTGTAAAAGCGTCCTGTGTAAAAGCGTTTGTGTGTCAACGCGTCTGTGTGTAAAAGCGTTTGTGTGTGAAAGCGTGTGTGCGTGTGTAAAACGTATCTGCGTGTAGAAGCGTCTGTGTGTAAAACCGTCTGTGTGTAAAAGCTTTTGTGTGTAAAAGCGTCTGTGTGTAAAAGCGTTGCGTCTGTGTGTAAAACCGTCTGTGTGTAAAAGCTTTTGTGTGTAAAAGCGTCTGTGTGTAAAAGCGTCTGTGTGTAAAAGCGTTGCGTCTGTGTGTAAAAGCGTCTGTGTGTAAAAGTGTTTGTGTGTAAAAGCGTCTGTGTGTAAAAGGGTCCGTGTGGAAAAGCGTCTGTGTCTGTGTGCAAAAGCGTCTGTGTGTAAAAGCGTTTGTGTGTGAAAGTGTGTGTGCGTCTGTAAAAAGGCATCTGCATGTAAAAGCGTATGTGTGTAAAAGAGTCTGTGTATAAAAGCGTCTGTGTGTTAAAGTGTTTTCGTGTAAAAGTCTCTGTGTGGAAATGCGTCTGTGTGTGTGTACATGAAAAACGTCTCTGTGTGAAAGCGTCTGTGTGTAAAAGTGTTTATGTGTAAAAGATTCTGTGTGTAAAAGCGTCTCTGTATAAAAGCGTCGCGTTTCTTCGCGTTCACGGAATGATGGTGCCGCGCTTTTTTCCGCAATGTGTGTGGGAATTACCATAATAAAATGAGATAGCACATGTCATTCGCAGACTCATGGCACTGAGCCTCCTGTGCACTTTTGTTGCTCACATTACATTTCTCCATGTTTTCTTTCTACCCCACCCCTTTCATTCTCTCTCTCTCTCTTGCTTTCTCTTTCTCTCTCTCTCTCTCTCTCTTTCTCTCTCTCTCTCTCTTTATCTCTGCCCCCTCTTTCTCTCTCTCTGGTTGCAAGACACATGTCATCTGATGCCCTTTACCAAATATTCTCTTCTTGATCAATCTTACTTTTTCACATCATATCTTTCCATAGCTCATATAAAATTCATCAACTATTCACCGACTATCTTTTACGACTACCATCCTCAGAGCTGCTTGAAAAACATCTTTTTCGCTCTCGGGCCAACCGTCGTCTAGTTCTTCTTCGTATTCTTCATGCAAGTATCAAAGCAGGCAGAGTGGAGTATTCGGCCTGTTTGAACACAAAGGAGGGACCAAGTATGTTTCTTTATCCCAGCTTAACTTCCGTCTTCTATAACTCACTATTCATTCTACTTGCGTGTTTGCCTGGGATACAGGCAGGAAAGACAAGAAAACCAGAAACCACCAGAAAATCAGGTTCTCCCCCTCCAGTCACTGGGGACTAAGGAAGCAGTGGAAGAAGCCTCCGAAGGATGCTGAGACCTCACATGAAACACTGCTAGGAGCACTGGTCCAACCATCACTTTGTTTGAAGATGAGTTTGTTAAAGCCTGTTAAAGTAAGACAAATTTGAATATGAAAACATACTGACTCTTGGTTTCATCCTGGCCTGGCAAGACAACATCCTCGTTACTTTGGCTGGAGATCTGAGGTGACTGAGATGATCAGTCTATCTTCCAAAAAGTTCATCGAACTTGCAAGGAAGCATTCGGACTGTGAGACAGCACAGAAGGCTGGCAGTGCACATCGTTCGATTTGGTAGATGACATCATGGACGAACATGGACAAACATGGACAAACATGGACAAACATGGACAAACCACATCGAACAAATGGGAAAGTTCGCCTGGGAGGAATCTCCATGTCCATGTCAACGCAATTGTCAAATATTGTGTGCACCCTCTCTTGGGGTCCGCGGTTGCACGGCTTCGACAAAGTGGATTGTCGAGAGACACTATCGGCTTGGAGTTTCTGATCATGCCATTCTATGCCAACTCAGAAAGGTTGCTGTGACCACTGGGTAGGGACGTTCACAAGTCGTGGCCCTCAGTTGTTTGCCATCATGATTCTTGGTGTTTCAAGTTGGGTTTCTCAGAGTGCCCCACTCATAGCTCCTCCAACATTTCCAAAGCCCAGGGGCTCCAGGGGTTTTTTAGTGTGACACGATGGAACACAAGTTAAGCGACTATAGACATCTATCAGACTACTTGTATTAGACATTATTAGACTGTATAGCTTTCACAAGTTGTGAAGAAGCTGCAAAGCAACCTGCTGGGCAGCGAGCATAGATCTGGCACCCGCTCTTGGCAGGGTGCACTGGCCTGTGGTGACCTTGGGTGGGTTACACCAGAGGCCTGGGGGACTGGATACTGTGGAGAGGGTGGAGAGGATGGAGAGGGTGGTCTTTTATTTCTGCATATTTCTGCAAACGTACTTTTGAAGAAGTTTGGACGTTCACGATTCGATCCCCAAAGTCACTACTTAGAATGCCTTCCTAGAAGATCCTTTGCAGGGCAGAGTTTTGTTGATCCTTGTATCATCTTGTATCATCTTGTATCTAGAAAAGCACCAGCATGTTGTCAAGAGGAACTCAGAGCTACTGTCCCGCAAATGGCATCCTGTGTGAAGTGCATGCATGTCAAATGAGCCTGTGTAGTCGCACTCCTATGTGCCCCGACATGACTCCCGTTTTTGTCATTTTTTTGAGTTTTGCTTTTTCCTTCCTGATAGCACCTGCATGCCCTTGGTTGTAACAGTTGTAACAGTGACATCATTTTGTGTCCTTCAGTATCAAGAACAAGCTCTGTAGACTCTAGGCTATGATTCATGGCTGAATATGCCCCCATGCAGACAAACTGCGACAGTGTAAAACATGAAGTGAGCACTGTCAGCCTGTCAGCACAACTCACAAGGCGCGGGCATCCATGAGTGAACACTTCAAGGAGGCTTGGGCATCTGGGCATCCGGGCATTTTGTGGAGCACCATGGAGCACCATGGAGCACCATGGACACCCCTTCTACAGCACTTCGTATGGTCATTGGACGTCAGGTTTGTGACGTCCTACACCCTGGACAATGGAGTGACATCGTGGCGTCACATCAGGGCATGCATTTGGTTCAGAGAGTTGCATGAAAGGATCAACTTTGCATCTCATTAAGTTGTGTCCTTCAAGGAGTTGAACTATCTTGCCTATGACTGCAATTCACTGAATCGAGTTAAGCTATGTCTAGATTCGTCCTAGATGTCCTATCAGTTTCACCCCCTCGCTCTGGCCAAACAGCTTTCCTGCCATTGCCAAGCTGAACTTTCAGCTGGTGGTGGTCGAGAGCCTGATGAGTTGAGACAATGATGGGGGAAAACGCCGACGAAGCGCAGTGCAACAATGAGTCCAAAGGGTCTGGAATCTAAACGCAATAAAACACATTATATATATATATAGATACATAGACATATATATACATATAGACATATATATACATATGACATATATATATATCTGTTTATATATATATAGACAGATTAGACACCTCTGAAGATGCTGAATTTCGAACAGTGCTGGCAGGTTCCAGTTGGCACCAGGCTTTACGGCCTTATGCCCGCTGCCAGGCAGTGCATGATTCCACGGTTTCTCGATGCACTACGTCGCGTGTCACGCACTTCGCTTGTGACAGGTACCAGGTGCAGACAGTGGGCCGCGACCCTGACACAAGCGAAATGCTTCCTGATGCCTTGTTGCACTTGTCGAGCCTCAAGCCTTCACACGATTTCCCAATGTACAAATTGAGGCGGCACCATTCCTGGCAAGACAGGGGAGCCATCACATGCCTGCTCCCATGATTGTTCAAGCATTCATATGCAGAGAGTGCATCCAACTGACCCAACTGAATATCATGAGGTGTGAGTCTGATGTGCCAAGGTTGAACTGTCTATGGAGGATGTACCGTTCAATCTTCGTCGGTTTCAAGAAATGGAGGCCGCGAAGATCATGATGAAACACAGGATACCAGTAGAGTACAGAACTGAAACATACTGAATCTGAGTCTGAACATATTATAAAAGTAACATAGAATATGTATGGATGTGTGATATGGGGGTATACATACATAATAATATAATATAATATAATATAATTTTAATAGAATATAGTATATATGTATATATATATATGACATATCCACCGTACAGATTCGCAAAGAACTGCCTCATCAAGGTCATCTCCGACGAGTTGGAGCCTCATCTAGAGGCACGGCCCAGAACGGCCGCGCCGGGAGCTCAACCACCCACGAAATGTTGCCAGGACTGGATCATCTCCACCAAGGCCGGGGTTGCTGTGGAGACAGAACTTGACGGACTTGACGGACTTGACGGACTTGACGTGGATCGGTGATCAGAGACTGCAGGCAAATGTAGGTAATGGATCTTGAGGGATCTTCGATATCTTAAAAAGATTTGGTCACTAGGAAAAAAGTGGAAAAGAACGCAACATTTGTATCACCGGAGGAGATCTACACAATGGCGTACTACATGGATGAGCAGCTGCTGGTGGATACAGGGTGCCGGCTCTTGCACACGAGAACGGTCCTGACTTTCTGGTCCCTGACCCGATGCCAGGATGATCAACTGCGTCATCATCTCCTGTGCATCTGCCAAGACGGCGTTGGCTCTGGCATTCTGCTTGCGAATGCGGGAGATGAGGCGGGACGACTGAGGATATTCTGCTTTTGGAATTTTGGATGCTTCTTGAATTCTTTTTTGACTTGTTTGGCCGAAGGTACGTCTTTGGACTTACCTCCAAGGAGATGAAGTTGAAGGTAGTCACCAGGTAGTCGATGCTTGATATGCCATGGCCGATCTCGGGGAGACTTGAGCCATGTGGAGCTGTGGAGGATCATCTTGAGTTTGCTCGGTCAACGGACCTCTTCCACGAGGTGCAACGTTTCACGGCTCAGTGAAGTCATTCTGGAACATTTGCATATACGTTGATATCTAATTTAATCCATTTATATAATATATAGTTATATATATATATGTATCATTATGTATTACTACAATATAACTATATATATATATACATTGATTATATATATATTACTGTAACATATACATATATGAATGTATAGTGACATTGTTGTATGTAATGTAATGGAATGGAATGGAATGTAATGTAATGATATGTAATGTAATGGTATGTAATGGTATGTAATGGTATGTAATGGTAGGTAATGGTATGTAATGGTATGTAATGGTATGTGATGGTATGTAATGGTATGTAATGGTATGTAATGGTATGTAATGGTATGTAGTGGTATGTAATGGTATGTAATGGTATGTAATGGTATGTAATGGTACGTAATGGTATGTAATGGTATGTAATTGTATGTAGTTGTATGTAATTGTATGTACGAATGAATGTAATGTATGTAATGTAAATGTAATGTCATGTAATGTTATGTAATGTCATGTATGTATGTATCTATGTATGTATGTAATGTATGTATGTATGTATGTATGTATGTATGTATGTATGTATGTATGTATGTATGTATGTATGTATGTATGTATGTATGTATGTATGTATGTATGTATGTATGTATGTATGTATGTATGTATGTATGTATGGTATGTAATGTATGATATGTAATGTATGTATGTAATGTATGTAATTGTAATGTAATGTAATATAATGTAATGTAATGTGTATGTATTATGGTGTGTATGTGTGTATGTGTGTATGTGTGTATGTGTGTATGTGTGTATGTGTGTATGTGTGTATGTATGTATGTATCTATCTATCTATCTATCTATCTATGTATCTATGTATCTATGTATCTATGTATGAATGTATGAATGTATGAATGTATGAATGTATGAATGTATGAATGTATGAATGTATGAATGTATGAATGTATGAATGTATGTATGTATGTATGTATGTATGTATGTATGTATATGTATGTAAATGTACATATGTATTGTTCTCAGGTACATTTTAAAAAATTATAAATACATATAGTTTGTAGGTTTTTACATCCTTTCACTCAACTTACCATTTTGTCACTCTCTTTCAGAGCAAAGGCTTAAACCTCGCCTTTGCTTGCTGCAGTTCCCACCTTTCTAACTGCACTTCCTCAAGTTCATCAAGGTGCCCTCGAGTCCATCGTGTGTTACAGTGTTGCAGGTCTTCTCCTATGATGACATTGAATCTTTACCAAACAACCACACAGTTGTAGTGACCTCAGAAGCATCGAAAAGCGTCAGGTGTGACATGACCAGTACCACCTTCTTTGCAATTCCGCCCTTTGGAAAACATGCCGTTCGAATAGATGTCAGATGAGGTTTACATGGACTTCAAGTGTGATGGCGAGCTGAGACAGCAGATTACTTTGAGGAGTGAGATGCTGTAAGTGGCTACAACTTTACAATAGGATGGAAGGCTAAACAACACGGCATGAGAATCAATTGTTGAATCGATTGTGGTTGTACAATATTGATTCACATTATATATATCATTATATATCATACTTCTGATACTTCCGATGGCAGGATGGGCACAAACCTGATGTACAACATGGTGCGCGCCTGTGATTCTTGCGCAACAGAAAAGTGCAATGACAAGACAGAATCGACAAATCACGGATGGTTGAGATAGAAACTGAGGTCATTGGGCCAGCTGTTTTCCAAAAAAAGATGAAGGCACATTTTTGGAGTTTTTGTATCTATACAAGCTGTATCCTTGTAAGTTGCTGCAACCCTCTGTAAGCTCTTGTATTCAAAGTCTATTTCTGATCCTCACATTGATTCATTTACATTTTTACATCATTGAATATTATTTGAATTATGTATTACTGATTCATCTTTGTGCACTTGGAAGGATCAACTCTTCGAGAAGCGAGCCAGAGAAGTCCTGTTTGATGAGTCGTCCTGGCGAGAGCGTCGACGGCTGGTGGCCGAGGTCCACAACCGCAGTTTGTTTGCTGAGTCTCAGCTTTGCGTAGCTTCGAACATCTTCGAACTCAGATTCGCATAGTGTTTTGCAATGAAATCGAGCGCTGGGATTTGCAGTCCAGGTTACAAAGACCGGGAGAAATGAAAAGCTCAAGCACTCTTACAAGGCTCTGTAAAGACAATGCCAGACATTTTAGGAGACCAGATCTAGTTTGGCACGAGGTGGTTTGCATATCAGATGTGGGTAAGCATTGCGTCACTTTCACCATTCCTTTCACAAAAACAAAAAAGACAACAATTTGAAAGGCTTCTTTATTTTTTTCCTGTAAGTTCGCTTCTTGAACAGCAAAGGTTGCACTGCAGATTCGAATGAAGCTTTCTTGGCAGGCGTTTATCGAGCGCATGAAGCAATACATCACTGCACCTTGGCAAACGGCCATGGGGGCCATGGATTCTCGATATTCGATCCAACCAACATGTTCAACGTGAGGTGAAGCACGTCGGCTCCGTGGATGGTTTTGTTAAGATGTACGATGCTTTGTACAGCAACGCAACTGGTCTGCACTAGAGTCACTAGACCAACATTTTGACGGAGCTTCTCAAGGTTTATCATAGTGTCATAGTTTATTGATGAAGGTTCTTACACAGATAGAGTGTCCATTTGTCACAATGAATACCCTTCTGCAAAGAGCAGTTACCGGCTGGGTACGATTCTGGCCAACTTCAGATTCTAGTTTTTGTGGTGGTCTTCATTTTCTCGACCGCACTGGCTCTGGTTCGGCAAGAGAGTGTTGGTTTTGACAAAGTTTAGTGGCAAAGCGGTTCCAATGCCAGCTTCTGGCGGTTTCTCATTCTTTATACATGTTCTACTGCGGCAATGGTGCTTCACTTTATTCTATCCTACTGGACCCCCGTTGTGCCACGTCGAACCATATCGTACCCATTTCCATTCCATTCAACCCTTATTGAAATTGTGTCTCATGATGTCCCACAAAAAAAGGTAAAATGGGGGTTTCAGGGCGTGTATGTTGGTATGTTGCTTGTTATGATTTTGTGTTGGGGTTCAATGTTTCATCCTTGGTTTTGATGATTTTTCAGGTGGGGTTTTGGGGGTCATTTTGATGCTAAAGTGATGTGTCAATGTTTGGTTCAGATGAGGGTAGGATTTGTTTAGGCTGTTGGGGTTTGTGTTTTGGTTCAGATGAGGGAGATACTGTGGATAGTGTACTTGTGGTTGTCGTTTTTTATTGTCAAGGTATGTCTTGTCTTTTTTTGGGTATGATTTTATTGTGTTTCCTTATCATCAGTTTCAAGACAGAACATTCAACTTGATATCTTTCAAAAGGTTCCATGTCTTTCAACATCTTTCATTTTTTATTCTCTCATTCTCGTCTTTTTTGGTGGCGTTTTTTCTTGGTTGTGTTTTGATTTGAACGTCTTTCGCTTCGCCTCATTTTTTGCGGACTTCTTCATGGACTTTCTGGATTTCGTCGGGGGCGCCCAGATGAGATGTGCGCGCTGTTTCGTTTGCATGGAAGCATCACTTTTGAGGACATATTGCGTTTCTTGAGGCACTATGTACACTCTATGTACACATTGTGGCATTACACTACACCCAGAGATGTTGATTGCTTTCTCCCGCAGCAGACAGGCTCACAAATGCTCACAAGATAAGATGAGTTCTACTTGCGGCATGTGTTGCACTATGAACAAGTCAACGCATCAAGAAATCGTAAAGTGCTTGAGCTCCAGCACAGTCCCAGTTCTATCAGTTCTGGAGATTTCCGCCATGGGTATGTCGCGTTGCCTCATTGCCCGATGTTGTGGTTTTCGGCTTCTCATGTCAGGCCGACGAATCCACCGTTGCTTCTCAAACAACGCTCCAGAGAAGGAGCCGACCACGAAACAGCAGATTGGAAAGTGGTTGGTTGGTGGTGGTGGCTCGTTGGCCATCGTGACCTTTGGATGGGATATGTGGCGGCATCGTCAAGAACAAGAACGGCATCGTCAAGAACAAGAACGGCATCGTCAAGAACAAGAGCGAGTGAAGAATATCATTGTGAATGCCTCTTTCAAAGCACGCGAGCCACGTGTCAAGATTGAACGGAAGATAATCAAGGCGTCCAAGCACCACCTTTTTTTTGTTGTGTTTGTCCCTGCGTTTCTTGACAGAAGGGATTTGTTCTTGAGATAGGTGTTATTTCATGTCATACTGACATTTTGAATTTGATGCACTATGCTCACTATGCACTGTGGCAGGACGAAATGCACCAGTTGTTGGACTTGGACGACCCCCGCCCAATCCTCATCTTGGGGAACCATGAAGTTGGCAAGAGCACCATCCTTTGGGAAGTGTTGCAGGAGAAACAGTGGAACAATGGAGTGCTCCACATCAAGCTCACGCAGAACAATCACTTGGCCACGGAAAAGGTGATGAGCGCGTTGGCAGTGCTCCATGAAGAGGAGGTGGTGCGTGTTTTGAGAGATGCCAAACAAGAAATGGGACGGCAACCCATCATCATCCTTGAAGTTCCTCGTGGTGTCTTTAATCCAGATGTGATGAGCAGCGTCTCCGCCTTTGCAAAGTCATGGGGCTTTGATGACATGGTCGCCAAAGTGCTGGTGATGGTCAGTTCTGCAGTGTCAGCCATGGCTTTTGACGCAGACGGTCGTGAGCGCCGATTCTTCGTTCCACCACTGACGAGTGAAGAGCTCTCGCAGAAGGAGGCCATAATGAAGAGCTTCAGTTCATGTGGTAATTGTTCAGTCACCTTCAATCACTTTAGTGCTTTTTGTTGGTGCTACTTCTGGCATGGGTTGGGATGTTTGCAGATGGACGTCTCCTTGTCAGGTTGAGGAATTCCTACGTCATCATGGCGGTGAAGAGGCCTCCACGCACAAGAGCGACATGATTCAACTCACAGGTGGCAACATCGGTGTAATGGAGGACAAGGGTCATGAAACCATGGGACAACAACCCGAAACATCAACGAACGTTGAAACCTTGAAACTTGCCCACATCTCCTGCAGGACGTGGCGGAAAAGGCCAAAGAGACATCATGGGAAGAAGCAAAGTCCAAACGGCTTGTGGTGCAAAGAAGTCAGGTCCAGAAGTTCTTGGGCATTGACAACCAAGGTGGCTTTGGCCCAGAAAAGGTGAGGATGGCACGCACCTT